CTTCTCCCAAAAAGGGAAAAAAAGAAAACTACATCCTTTTTCAGGCCAGTAAGCCTAATGTTTGCCAGAGTGCTTGTGTGTTTCCTATTTTATCTAAACTATGTCTGTCAAAGTGAAGGACAGGTTTTGAACAGGAGCATGGCACAAAGAGCCAGAGCCTTCTATTGCCTGTATCCTTGAGGTAAGAATGGCACACAGATTCCAGTTGTCATTCTGAGATTCCCACACAAGCAGGAGATCTCTGGCCCGAGTGAGTTACCTCAATGCAATCTTGTGGGGCAGTGTTCATGAGACTTTGGGGGAGAAATGCCAAGGGACAGTGGAACTGAAGCATTGCTGGGGACACCACAGAAAATGAACACCCTTACTTTGTTCTTCTTTGCCATCTCTTCATTTGCTTGCACATGGCTGCTATAAGTAGGGCCAGTGATTTTTTTGTCTAAAATGGCACCTGTGATAAATTAGAGAAGGGACATCAATATGACTATAAATAGTAAACAGATTTTCACAAAAACAGTCGTACAGACAGACCTAGAAGACTGTCTTTGATTCAGCAAGCACTCCAGCACTTACTTAAATCTCAGTGAGGTTTAATGGGGTTTAACAGTACTCTCTAGGCTTTGCCCTACTAAGTGAAGTTGTGAATGCACAGGACATATAAAAGATTGAAAGTATTTGGCTTATGGAAGGCTTACCATCTTGCCTGGAGTTGTACCATTTTACATGAAGAAAAACCCCAAGGAGACCATTATTTCAGGTCATTTTGTTGGCTACATCCACTTACAAACTTTCTGTTTCACTTCTACCACCACACCCTGCCCTACACAAGGATCTCAGTTAGACTGAATAATACATTCCAGAATTTAGGTACAAAATTATGTATAAGATGTCAAGAAATGTACTACATTTTCAGATCCTTGAATGCTAAGTGATATAAAGTATTCAGTGGAGAATTACTTCCTGTGCATGTGTGGCTTATTTTTGTAAGCCACCATATAAAAGCAATTTCTAATATAAATAAAAGCTAATTTCATATGAAATGCAAGCAGTGAGTGCAATTAAAAGGAAATAAATGCGTAGTCAGTGAATCTAACTTTGGCCTCTCTAAAAAAAAATAAAAATTTGTGGAATTGTTGAACTTACAGATCACATTACAACATCTTATTTTTTTCCTCCTCCTTGAGACATTCATCCTGAACTATTAAAAGTAGAGGAGACTCTGAGATCACTGCATACATAAACTAAGTCCCAAGCACCTGTTTAGGAATGAAAAATATGTTTTATTTCCAGAGGAATGGCTCATACCCTCTTCACCTCCATTCAAAGGGCCAAAAAGCCACAGATACTGTGAAACTGAATAAGAGAACTCCTGCAAGCAGCTCCACATCACCGAACGATACTCACACTGATATACAGCCACAGTTGTTCCTGTGCTGGTGAGAACATGCTTATATAACATGCTTGGGAGAGACTCTTAGGAAGGGGAACAAAAGATTTCAGAATAGCTGTACTTCTGTTCAGTTACCTGGTGAGCAAAGCATCGGGCTGGAACTCAAGATACCATTGGGTGATACTGAGTGAATCACGTTGCCCAGTGACTCACAGAATTAGGATTGTTAAACTGATTTTACCTGGGACAAGAGCTGCATACAGAAGAGATGATGCTCTCATTCCAGCTGGTGGAAAATATGCCCATATTGCCCTTGCTGAGCTTTATGAAGAAGCTGCAGACTGACCTGATTCAAAACTCAAATGGAAATCAACTTTCACATATTAGAAAGCTTTTAGGATGAAGCCATTGGACCTACTCTTATATACATCCAAAATGCACACAAACATACTGGTCTGGGTCAAAAATACTTGGGCTACCTACTAAAAAAAAAAACAAGTGAGCTCTACAAATCATATCTACTGTTATTTATTGAAATTTGAAGCTTCTGTTCAGCTATGAATGTTTGTGGTAATATGACACCACTCACTGTGCCCACTTTAGAAGGCAGTATTTTGCTTTGAAACACGGCATACATTGTATGGTATTTACACATGCCTGAACTATGTTGGGATAATCCTGGATTTATCAAGGGATGACCAGCAGGATGAGGGAGGTAGTTTTGCCCCTTTACTCCACTCTCCTGAAACCCTACACTGAGTGCTGCATCCAGCTCTGGGGTCCCCAGCAAAGGAAAGGCAAGGATCTGCTAGAGCAGGTCCAGAGCAGGGCTACCAAGGCGATCAGAGGGGTGGAGCTCTCTTCTGTGAAGACAGGCTGAGAGAGTTGGGATTGTTCAGCCTGGAGAAGAGGAGGCTTAGGGTTGACCTTTTTGCACTCTTCCAGTACTGAAAGAGAGCTCAGAGAAAAGCTGGAGAGTGATTTTTCACATGGGCAGAAAGCCACAGGACAAGAAGTAATGACTTTAAACTACAGGAGCATAGGTTTAGATTGGGTATTAGGAAGAAATTCTTCACAATGAGGTTGAGGCACTGGAACAGGTTGCTCAGAGAAGCTGTGGATGCCCCACCCTGGATGGCTTAAAGGCCAGGCTTAGATCAACCTGGACTAATTGGAAAGTGTCCTGCCCCATGGCAGTGGGGTTGGAACAAGATGATCTTTAGGGCTCCTTCCAAACCAAACAATTCTGAGATTTTATCATTATATGAATTAAACAAAAAACACACAGAGATTTTCAAAATTACAGACCAGATGCTCTTATGAAATGTTTGAAACAATTTTGGATCTCAAGCGAAAACACGCAGAGATAAACAGATATTGGGAGGTAACTCCATGCAAGAAAAATGCTGGCCTTCTGTAACAATAGTTAATGAAATGAAGCTCTACACAAAATTAATGTCTTCTCCCAGACTACTTGGATAGTTTCAATTTCATAAGCCAGCACTTCCCTTAGGAAAATAATTTCAATTAAAAAATAATTCCTTTTTTTAAGGAAAAATTAGGAGGTGTGTTCTGGTACTTGTATCACCTGTGTGAACAGCACAGATGTGATTATTTTCAAATAAAGCTGTGTAAATTTTTAAACTTTTTCTCATTGCAAGCAACATTGTCCCACATATTTAAATATGCCTTGGGCTAAAAGATCTAGAAATTCTGCCCATAAAAAGTAATTGTCTAATATTAGATTCTTTAGCTATATGCAACAAGCCATGTAGTACAATTTCTAAAAGTTGGCTTCTTGGTTACACTATGACAACCACTTTGCAATTTTAAGTATTCTTTCTTAACCAAAAGTGAATAGTATTTATTGCCTATAAATGGCAGAAGTAGCACCACCCACATACTACAGTGCTTACTATAGAGTTCACTGCTGTAAGTCTGCTACAGTCTCTGCTTTGGAAGTAACTCCTGGCAGTATTTTTTATATATACGGTCTTTCAGTTCTTAACTTTTCTGAGCACATACCAAAAGCACTACAAAAAATCCAAATTTCAGACTCATGGAAGATGAGATCATTGAGTCCCACCATTAACTCAGCATGGGTTATGACTCTTCCTTTTGGTATTTTTTCATGTTACTGCCAGCTACATGAAATGTGCAATCCTACCACACTCATCTGCAGTTTTTATGGCCTTTTATAAAGTATGAGAAGTTTTTCCAAGGCAGCAGTTATTATTTACACCATGCAAGTGCATAGTCTGATAATGAGATACAGGCTCATCTCCAGTAACATAAGCAATCCATTTCAGGAAGAATGACTTACTCCACGGTCTGCCACTGTTTGAGTCCTGCTGGTTTTCCTGCCCTCTTCTTCCCTCTTCTCTTCCAGTCATAGCATTGACATTTATGATGAGTACAAACAGACCATACTTGGCAATTGCAATATCTAGATGCCTTGCTTGGGAATATATTTCCAATGTCTGCCTCTGTGCTTTGTTCCTTCATTAGACACACTTGTAGCAGTACTAATGAAGCAGAGAGGTCTGTTTAGTCTGGCTGATAGGAATTCTCTTTTCCCCTGTTTCTTTATGACTCACTCTTGATTCTAATGCACAAGCTAATAACTTATATTGATAATCCAAAATATATGTGCAAATATTTTTTCATCCCAAGCAGCCTCAAAATGAAAAAATGCTTACTTTTAATTTTACGCCAATGAATAACTAAAAATTTTTAATGTATATTTCTTTATTCATGTTCATAAAACTAGGTAAGATGTAACTAATCACTGACTGATCCCTCTGTTATAATGCGCTTTTATTAATAATAACTATGTCATTAGAAAATGTAATTCTTCAGGGTAAACAACATTTGCTTTGGACCATAGCAGGTGGGTACAATGGCATCAAGAAAAACAGGAAGAGACTGATTAATCAGAACTGAGACCTTTTAATTGGAGAGACATTAGGATGCAATGTAAGAAATGCAGGTCTTGAAGTAGCATAATGGGTTTAGGGGAGCTAAGCCTTGGGCTGTAGTGGGTTTGCATGACAAGATTTCATGGGGGTGAGGGGAAACCTCTGGGGTTGCTTCTGTGAGAAGCTGTGAGAAGCTTCCCCCATGCCCAACAGAGCCAGGGCCAGCCAATCCCAAACGGACCCACTGCTGGCCAGGGCCAAGCCCATCAGTGAGTGGCAACATCTCTGAGAGAATATATTTAGGGAGAGGAAGAATGGCTGCACCACAGCAGCTGGACAACCTGTGAGAAGCACAACCCTGCAGGCACCAAGGTCAGTGGAGTGGGAGGAGATACTCCCAAGGGCTGGATCAGAGATGCCCCTGCAGCCAGTGGTGCAGACCATGGTGAAGCAGCTGTGCTCCACAGCCCTGGGAGGTCCATCAGGGTGCAAGAGATCCACCCTGGAGAAGACCCACAGGCGGGTGGGTGGATGTGCCCACCCTGGGGGAAGCCTGCGCTGGAGCAGGTTTCCAGGCAGGACTTGTGACCCTGCGAGGGACCCACACTGGAGCAGCCCTTTCCTGTAGGACTGCACCCCATGGAAGGGACCCGTGCTGGGGTAGCACATGAAGGACTGCAGCCTGGGTAAGGACACAAGTGAGCCAATGCAGGCTGAGTCCTTTTCTGTCTGAAAGAGTAATGCTAATGTGTCACATCCCAAGGGTTTGCAAAGTTGTCAGAGGGTGTGATCTATGTCAGTAAGATCAAGATGCTGAGCACTGCTGGAATCAAGTGAGTATTTCAATCCCATATAAAAACATATCATGAGCAGAATAAGCTTCTCAGTGCAGTTGCTGAGCAAAGAACCCAGAAACATGACAAAATGAGAAACACAAAGTGGTGCTCAGTTCAGATTATACAGTGACATGAGGTACAGACTTTGTGGCAATTCTGAACTACAAGATTATCACCTCTAATGCTCTGTCACAGAGAAACACGACAGAATCAAATTATTTTTGTATTGTTTGTAATTAAAAATCCATTATAGTACAGTGAAACACCTTCAAGTTTAATAGTTCCTCAAAGTTTGGAAATGTCTTGACCATGGGCTTTCTGCCTACTCGGGCTTGCCTCCACTTTGGCTGCTCATATACAATAACAAAGATAACACCTTTCAGTGCTAAGGAATTGACATCACCTTTTGGCATGAGCTTTCAAACATTACTCTGGTGAAAATGAGAACTGTACAAGTCATGGCTGGGTTATGCTTCTGTCACTGCCAGCTCAGGGGAACCTGATTATAAATACATAACTATAAATAGTAAATTTTCAGATAGATGTTAAAAAAATGAAATTAAATGATGACTCCTTTTCCCAACAGACAAACTGGAAATACAACTAAATAGTTAACCTTTTGCTAAAGAATCTCTTGATTTATTTTCTGTGGATGTCTTGAAGAGAAACATGTGCACTTAAATTATAAACTTCAAGTCTGAAGAAAAAGAGGGATTTTTACTTTGTGATATGTGTAATTAGAGTGAGAAAGAAAGAAAAGAACAGTGGATTCTGCATGGCTCAGTGAGTAGTCTCCCAACTCTTATTTTCAGTATTATACGACTCAGTAAATTCCTATTCTCTTAAATTCTGCAGTTCCACAGCCTGAGATACATTTTTAACAAACTCAGAACAACAAGTTCAGCTGGGCAGAGACTGTCAAAATCCAAGTGAATAACAAAAGTTCTTCCACAATTTCCATTAGATCCATATGCTACAGTGAGTAATAAGCAGAATTTTAACACATGTACAGGAACTAAAGGATTGATTACTAGCATTAGCAAGCATTTCTACAAGGTAATGATTCAGGTTTTGCAGCACTGTTTGATCTTCATTTCAATTAGCAGAATAGAAATTATGCTCCCAGCATTGAAAGACACTGACATAAACAAAACACAAGATATTTTATAAATCTTCCTTTCTTGTCTATGCATAAATGAGTTATAACCAGTTACATGCCTCAGCTACCTCTGCCAAGTTGGCTTCAGGAAGAGAAAGAGTACTCTGTAACTCTTATTTTATAAAAAGGGACAAGACAAACACTTTGGAGTCATGGTTCCCAAAAGCTGAGATGAATTTTCTCTAATCACCATGCCCATTTCCTGTCAAGCAGAATTTGCTTCACTCATACTAATGCAAATGTGTGTCTGTAGTTTCAGGGTGGCATACAGGATTGAACGTGCACTTCTAGGCTCCTTATCTCAAAAAAAGGAGCCAGTAGTACTGGAAAACCTTCAGACAAGAGCAGCAGAATGATTAAATCTCCAGAAGACCTTCCAGAAGTAGAATGACTAAATAAGGTGCAAATCTTCACTCTGTGAAAGGAGAACAGATGGAAGATGTAATGCAGGTCTGTGTAATTATTGGTGTCAAGAAAAGGACAGACATGGATTATTTGTTCATTGGCTTTTCAGGTATGAAATCCAGAAGCAATCAGACAGGCAATAAGAGTCAGGTTCAAGTAAAAGTAAGAGCTGATGAGACTTCAAGCAACTACTTGAGGAATTCATTGCTGAAAGATTGTGAAGATGCTAAAATATTCTGTGGGCTACATAGAAGATTGCATGACTTGGTGAAACGGAAACCCACAGAGGATCAAAAAACACAGAGAAACTGTTTTTTGGCAAAGAAAGGCTCTGCTGAGTCCTACAGCAAGTGAAGGTACTCTGTTGCTGTACTTCTGTCTATAGATACACTTTTTTGCCACTGTTAAACACATGCTACAGGGCTTAAAGAAATCTAGATGCAGGCAGTAAGACTGTGGCTATATTCAAATGAGTTGAAAAAATTTCCCAAAACAACAACACAGCTTATTTTCTTCATTTAAGTTATTATCTTCCAGACTGTAATCCACTACCTTTTACAAGTTCATTGTACTACTCCGCACAAGTAATGGGATTTACATATCTGATACTCAGGAAATCAACACATTTTCAAGAGGAAGTACCAACACAATTTTTACAGAAAAATACACCAATTATCAAGATCACTTGACACTTCAAATGGTAGTCTTTCACTTTCAATTGATTTTATTTGGAGAAAAAAAAAATAAGAAGATTGTTTTCATTGTCAAGCTCCATGTATTTGTTCCAGTACAGTATATTCATTTTCAGGGATCTGTTCCAACTCTTCCTTTGTTTGGAGTCTCTCCCACTTGACTGCCAAGACACCGTGTAGCTCTTGGTCTGTGTCGCTTCTTATTCAACAGCTAGAGAAAATTAAATACCCTTAAGAATCTTATACCACCCAAATACATGAGTCATTTGATTCTCAAAAGCTGCCAGGGCTGCTACAGTTCAGCAATTACATCCACAATACTACATAGCTGACTGTTGGTGTCACTCAGATAGTGTTATTTAAGGCTCCAGTGGTATTATCATACTTTGTTTTCTCTGTGCTTTCCCAGGAAATTTTAAGCACATTATCATGTCCCCTTTGATTTCTTTCTAGTGAAGTCTCCAAAATGGTATATGGTAAAATGTTCCATCCTCTACTGCCAACATCCCAGCAAGGCAGTTTGTCCCACCACTCAGTGTCTCTCAATCCTGACTGTTGCTAAAATATCAAAGGCATTACAACTGTTCAGTAGTTTAAGTAATAACACAGCTGAAGTCAGTGGCAAAGCAAACTTTGACTTAGCTAGGTAGGCTGGGGTTGAAGAAATGATAAATAAGTTAATTACTATAGGATTTCTGTTTAAATGTGCCTGATACTATAGGTCAGAAAGCAATGGAGAGTTAGCACATGTATAAGTACAACAGTACTGCTACACTACAGGTGCAATAGCTATACTTACTGTATAGCCTAAAAACTGCTGTTTCCAAATTACTAGTACCTCTTTCACTAACTGGCATTAGGAAATGACAGATAAAGTGATTTTTGTACCTTTTTGAATCACTGTGATAGAGGTTTACTGTACTATTCACTCTTAAATCTTCTATTTGTAGTGATCCCTTCCTCCTTCAGCAAACCATAGTTTTATCTACTCCAAAAACCTCTTGGAAATCTTTCCAGTACTCTTCTATTCCCAGGTGTACTTCCTCCTACTCTGTGTGTTTTAGTTGAACAGTTTCTTAATTTTTTGTAATTAAACAGCTGTTAAACCCTCTTTCAAACAGTTGTTAATTACTATCGCTTTCTGATCGCATCTCTAATCCAGTTTATATCTTTAATCCTGTCGCAACATCTTTCCTTTTTCTAATATTTTTAAAATTAAAAAATCATATCTATCTTGAAATAGATATTATGGATATGTTCTCTCCTTGGTTTTAGCATTACAGCAAAATTGCAGTCATGTTTTGGACCACTACTGAAATCCCATAAGGTGAGAGAGGAAAATGGGAAAGATGAGGGTTTCAGTTGCTACAATTTTTGAAGCTTCAGCCTGCTAATTAGGAACAGATCCATTGTGAGTAGTCCAGAGATAATAAAGTATGATGAATTGGGATCTTTTGCTTTATAAATGGCTTTCAGAGGTTGTTACTGTCTCTTGTATACTTGAATAAAGTTATTTACCTGAAGAAGATTATTCAGTTTATTTGTACTGGCATTTGAGGCTTAGACATCTGGAGAAGAAACCCCAATTCCCTCAGGTTTGTCTATCATCCACCACTAGGACACACCTTGTACAGTTTAGGAGGTTTTGTACAGCACAGAAAATAATTATGATTAGTAAAATTGAATATATGATTATAAAATAACAAAGAGATAAGCACCAGGCTGTTAAAGGCAAGAACTATGAAAACTTATCTGTGAAAATCCAACACCCAAGCAATGAAGACATGAGCTGCTTTATGGACCTTAGCAAACATGAGTGTGGACTTTATTTGCTCTTCAGAGCAGCTGCTACTGGTTTCACTTAAGCTTGGAAATCTAGTTTGTGTGCAGCTTTTGGCCATCTTCATTTCTGACCTGGCAGTCCACGTCAAATCCTTACATTTCATTAATTTTGTCTTGGTAGCACTTAGCACTTACCCTTGATTGATCAAGGAATTTTCCAGTTCTACTCCATAAGTTAGCAGCTAGCACTGAAAGGAACTGGATAAATTATCTGCAGATGACAGATAACAATAATCAATGACTCAGAAGAAATTCAACTTTCTGTGTGACAGTTCTGAAAACTTTAAAATATTCTTTTAAATGCATGAGATCTAGAACTGAAAAGTAACTTCTTTGGACCAGTTAGTGACTAACTCAAACCTGGTTACCTATAGAAGTCTAACAGATTGGCTGGCTTTGATCTCTCCAGTACTTTTACACTCAGCCACCCTGTGCAGCTGCTTCATAGGTCCAGGCAAAAAAAAAGAGGGCAACTTACTCAGTGTTTTGTAGACAGGCAGAGATGATCAAGAGGTTTAAGACAAAAAAGATGGAATCTTGGTTATGTGTTTCCTGGTTTTATCAACAAAAGAGGTTCTTCAGGGATTTCAAGTTACTATTTTCCTGAATAAATCAACAAGGACCATATACAGGTGAATGTCCCAGGGCAACTAAAACTGTCAGGCCAGGATGCCGTTTTCAGCCTTGGGTTAAAAGATATCCACTGCTTACCCTGAAACCTCCTTTTTCACTGTGATGGTATCCTTCTCCTCTATCCTCACAATGGTTCTTGCACTCAGATGAGGAGATCACAAAACACAGCCTTCTGCCACTGTACTGACTCCCTGTGAAACATAAAGCAGGATCCTGAGGGATCACCTCACAGAATCATAAAAAAATTTGGGTTGGAAGAGATATCAAAGATTGGGCATACACAGCTTCTCTGGACTACGTTTTGGTTTTTTTTAATATTATGCACACTTTGGTCTTCACACTCAAAAGCAGGTTTCCAAGGAGGTCTAGAAACCGTGGAGCACAAATGTATTCTGCCTCATTTCAGATGCTTTCCCTGCCATGTGCAGTTCACCTAAGGATCAGTTTTAAATGTTATTGTTAGACTTTCATTAATCTGATTAATAGACTGCTGTGCTTTTAATTGCATGAGTTATAACTTGTACATAAAAGTGTACCAAAAAAATTCCTTCTGGGTAATAAACAAAATGAAAGATAACAGATTAGTCCTAGTTGAGCTGTATTTGCTACCAGACTTGAGAAAAAAAATCCTTTATAGGAGCTATAAAGCTAATCCTTTATAGGTGTCTAAGTTTGCATAGTGTCAGAGCTGTCAGCTCCACCAACAGAAGTCACTGGCTTTTAAGAAGCCTCCACTTCCTAGGAGTCTCTAAATTCCCAAGAAAAGTAACTGCCTCTGAACTTTCCATGTCCTGGTAGGTTGCCATTAAGTTAAGAGCTCGTTTCTGTTTGGGGTGGCAAAGAAGCCATACTTGGCCAAGAGCTGGACTCAGTTTTTAAATCTTATGAACAAGTGCAGAGAGATAAATACTCCCAGGCAACGAGATACTGATATAACTCTGTGTGTGCTCACACAAGACACACACGTTAATAGGCTATATTAGGCTGTATCAGGCTATATTCCTGAACTCTGGGTAGCTCTTCTCTTCCAGTCACCAGAGCAAATATTAACTTTTCATGTGTGTCAGTTACACAGCGCACATAAATATTTTCTCTACATGTAAATATACATGTGTTCTTCTCTTATGTGTGTGCATAAAATTCTATATGCATATACATACAAAACTGTAAAGATCCATAAATGTGAATATTTTGGCAGAGAATACAATTGGAGCATCCATAGTCTTGGAAATCATTCCATCATAATACAAAGTCTGGTTTCACAGTTGACATAAGTAGATAAAATGTTAAACCCATGTTACCTTATGTTCAGTGAAATCTATGGGATTCACTGGAGGTATGAATAACAGCTTGAATATAATGAATATATAACTGCACACTAGAGTTCTGCTTATTGTAGAGACTTCCAAGACTGATATTTTTTCATTTTATGAGCTCTAGCCTTGAAACAGAAATAGATTTTTGGCAATTCTATAAAATCCTGTTCAGAATGGCTCCTGAATGTTTTACAAAAGATTAAAAAATAAGTTTGGTTTAAAAATTGTACGTGTCATTTCCTACTTGATTTTCACTCCTAAAGTCAATTTCCCAGCAACGGAAAGATTCAGGAATTCTTATAATCAGACACAGTGAGATTTTAGATGTTGTCAAGTACAGAAGTATATTTAAAACAAAGATTCACTGCCCCCCTCCATCAATATTCTATATATATGAGTCTCTAAACTACAACAGAAAAATGTATTTAGACAGAGAATGGGGAAAATTTGATATTACACAGGACAGATGCTGACTGCAACCATGGCAATAATTACAAACAGATTAATGTTTCAGGACAACATATTTTTCTAAAATACTCAACAATGAAAAGATTTTGGATTAGATTCTCCACAACTTGTAATTGCATTGACTGCATTAGAGTGGAAAAGTAAACACAATGTATTTTTCATAAACTCCTAAATTATTGAGAAGAAACAAGAAGCTGCCAGAGCACTATAATTCTCTTGAAACTAATGGGACAAATTTTCCAAAATTACATCATCTTTACATATGTAGGATTGATGAGAAGGCAAATTATTTTATTTTGTATTTTGTAAAATTTCACATAAGAGTGGTGCAATTTCAAATTACTTTGACCATTACCACCATCCTAAATTCACTTATGATCTTAGTATTTCCCTAAGACCAAAGAGCACACATAGTTGCTATGTCCAACAAATAAGTGCAAAAATAAATGAAAAAGCACAAATCTTTTGGGATTTTAGGAACATTTACAATATGCAAAAGCGGCTGAGAGAGTTTTTGAACACGGCATCTTTGGCTACAAAATTACCTTTTAAATGAGAGCTACTTGTAAAACAAAAGTATGTCATAAAAGGAGTTTTCTCAGGGAGTTATGGCAAAGGAATGGGAGATATTTTGAACAATGAGCTGAATATCTGAACCAAAGTCATACTTCCAAGGGAGAATGCAAACACGCAAAGTACAAACATATTTGATGTATTTCTAACACTTGAGAAATTGCTAAGAGATGTTAGTTTGTGCTTTATTGATATTTTTCTTTGTTGTCATATATAAAATGTTCACCTGAACTTTCAAATTGTACTCTTAAATCTGGATTAAGGAAAATGTGAAAATGTCCCATACTGAGAAGAGGAATGAAGCCAATGCTTAACAGGAAGCACTTCTGAAGCTGCTTTCAGTACAACACCACTTGAATACTTTCTTAAATTAAGGTTAAATCAGAAGGAAGCATCTTATTTTTTAAAATTAAATCCATCATGCTCTGGCCATAAAACTTTGCTATCATGGGTGGTGGATTGGATTAGGTAATTTTTATTGTAGGCTTTGTTTTTCAGCAATGGGTTTAAGTAAAGAGTGTTACAATAACAGTAAGTAGGCAATTCAGTAAGAAAACACTAATGGAGTAAGATGGCTAAAGTGACATGTTTCCCCAGTACAAATGTCAACCAACCCATCATGTTTCCAAAAGAAAATCAAGCCCTTAAAGGTGTCTATTATCTAACTGTCACTGGGAGTATCATGGGGAAGATGAGCATGACCTACTTGAGTGTGCTAATGTCTCTCAAGAGTCATGGTCGTCATCGTCCTTTATTTCCAATTGCTCTGAAATGGCAACACTTACCTTTTGTTTTGAAATGTCAACTTATTTCTATCCTCCTCAAAGTCCCACTCTTGCCCTTGCTAATGTGCCAAATTCAGCAAACCTTGGTTTCAGCAAAAGCCTGGTTGTAGATTGTCACTGAGAAGAATCACTAATCAGCAATGATTCTTTCTGAAAATAAGGATCCTGATATGTGGAGTTTGGGTAGTGCAAGACACTATGTACTAAATTATTTGTTTCTTGGGTGTTAATAGCAATGCCCTGAAGAACTTCAAAGGCTCTGAGGACTAACCAAAGAAAGAGTTCCTTGAACATATCTCATCAGACAGACCGATGGACTCACACACAGGTACTGCTGGCACAAACCTCTCCTCAGGAACAGATGATTGCTTCTTTCCCACAGACCTTGGTGCCATTAAAGCCAAATGAAAACCTCTTCAGTCTCAACCAGAGCTCACCTACAGCTTTGGGACTTAATGTACTGAGCAAGTGAGTTGGAAATCTGAAGTTAATAAGAGACACGGATGAATGCACAGGAGCACATCAATTAAGGCAACATTGGTGAAACCCCCACTAAGGGTGCTAAGCAAGGAAATACCCTGCTATCAGAGTATACTTCTTTAACAAAATAAAATGACAGAACAGATAAATAACATAAATCCAGATCCTAGGCACTGGAGAATCTTTTAAACTATAAAAACCTCTAAAGCTAAATCCTGTCTGCACTTAATCCAAAGGAATTCTTCAGATGGAAAAAAGTCCCCACTTGATCTAAAGCCAGCACAAGCAGTAGCAAAAGGAGGGTGGTTTCTAGGAAGTGAGTGCACAGTGGGGATGAATGAGAAATCCTTCTTTGATCCTAACCCATCCTTACAAAATCCAGCTTGTGCAGTCAAGCTAGTTCAGTCAGTCAGTGCAGCTCTGAGGATGGACTAGTGGCCAAGAACCGAAATACAACCCAGCTCACTGAGCAACCCCTGCTTTCCTCCTCTGTGGGCAAATCATACTGAAAAGAAGGGACTTTCAAACCCCTGTTCAATCTGCTTGGTTTAAGTATCTTGAAAAAAAATAAATTTTTAATACATAAAAAAAAAGAAAAACAGAAAGAGTTATGTGGAAGTTTAGTTCTACATAAAGACACTGAAGCAAAATAAATGTAATCATCTCAAATCACATCAGTATTTGGTACAACTGGCCTCAGTGCATAAATAAATATGCTCAAATTTATTATCACTAAGTTAAACAACCATGAATAAAATATTTTTATGTAAGTGGACAGACCAAAATATTATTTTGTAATTGCTCTGTAGGAAGCATGATGCCTTCTATGAGAAAATACAAGAGTAGTTACAGACTAGGAGTTAGTGCAAATACCTGCCTATGGCATCAAGTTGAAATATGTGATCTCTGTGTCATAGGTACCAGGTTCCTTAAGAGATTTAAAAAATTAGTGCAACACATTCTTCATATTAGATTAGGAAACTTTATTAATCATTATGTGACACAACAAAGTACTCCAATTTAAAACATGCAAAAAATAAAGCCGAGACACATATTCACTAAGCCAGGAATCCAAAACACTGACATCCAAGGCTGGTTTGTCATCCCAATTTTCCTTCATTACAAATGGGAAGAAATGCACTCCCTGCAGAGGGCAATTAATTTCCTTCAAGATATGTCATATGAATCACCCTGTGAAGTTACCAAGTTCTTTCTAAAGGCTATACAGACTCAGAGGTCTGATGCTACAGCGTCTAGATGAATTCAAAGACAAACAGTTAGTTACAGCCTTTGGAATGACAGCTTTGTAGCTAAGAGGCTTAAGGCAAATTAGACAACTGTTCCGTAGGCAACATGGATTTGATTTTATTCATGGCCAAAATTCCAGCTGCAGGGTATCTGCTAGCTAGTTAAAGCCACTATAGGGAAAGCTTATGTGGTATTGCAGGTATAAATGCACTACAGAACACACCACATTTGAAAAACAAATTCACTGTGCCAGAATAAACAAATCCAAGGGATTGACTGCAGCTCTCATAACTTTAAATCATTATTATCAGAAAGGAATGGCCAGTACCTCTCCCAACCTAAAAAATAAAAAGTTGTCAATATAAGCAAAACACAAATTGAATATTTCACCTATTTTTCAGTGGAAGATAGGCAGGATATATTCAGTAATCAGTGCTGAAGAGCAGCAGAAGGACTGCTTTTGAAGTGTTTAATAATAATGAGCATTTCCACATGAACGTCAGTTAAAATTATTTCATCACTGAGAGATAATTTCTGTATTCAGTGGACTAAGGTACACTGTGGTGCGGGCAATGCTGAGAACATCTGAAGAAAGAATCTGTGCTTGCTTTCCCTTGCTCCACAGATACAATGTGTTCTCTTTGGAAAAGTCACCTTGCTCTTGGAGGAGGCAGGATGTGAGCACCCAGAACTGTGTGTTCCTCCTTTGCAAGGGTCCAGCTGACACTCCCATTTCCCTTGGCAAAACTAGCTGTATTTCAGCTACTCAACCCATCCACAAACTCCTAAAAATTTTGACAACAGACAACAGGATGTTTAAATTATGTTGCAGACATCTGTTATTATGTCAGCATCAATATCAGAAAAGTCAACAGGATCTTAAGATGCCTTAGAAGAAAACAAGTGTCTATTTAATGTCTCCTCTGAAACTGTTTGCTTGTTTGTTTGGGTTTTTGACACCACTAGGGTAAGGTTCATCTTGCCTTACTTCACCTGTGTGAAATCAAACAACAATCAGCAACAACAAATCCCTGATTTCTTTCCACTCAGGTATAAACTGGATGGATCAGTTGCTTATGGGAGGTTTCTGTCTCTCCAGTGACTATACAAAGAACGTAGGTAGTTGGTGTTTACAACTACAATCAAATTTGTGGGACCCAGGTGAAAAAAAAACTCACAGGCCTTCACTGCTAAAATCCCTTTTTAGAGCTTTTCAAAATTTGCTATTAAAATATTTTTGATTGAAATTAGTATATAGAAATGCACTATGAGTAATCTCAAATCAGACACAATATGACCCTCCATCTTCTGCTATAATCATATTGTTCATTCCCTTACTCAAAGGAAGTAAATTGGTCTGGTTTACTTTTTATAATGGAAATGAGAATAGCAAATTAATGCATAGAATACAATACTTATTGGCAAAGATAAATTTAAAGTATATGAACTTTTAGAAGAAAAGAAGAAAATATCATTTTCACTGAATGTAAATTTGGTACTCTGTCTTCTCAGTCCAGTACTCTCTGCCCTGACATAAAACTGCTAATCAGTTAAAAAACATCTGTATGCTAGGGAGTACTACAGATTTCATCTTCAAATCTTCAGGGTATTCTTCAGGGCACTAGAGAAGGATCACTGGTGAAAGTTTATCCATTAATTTAGCAAACACAGAACAGCAGTGATTCTACTAGAACTGCTAACCTAGTACCCTGATGTGAGTGGGTACTTAAATTAAATGATGGTTAGAAGAAGAAGAATGATGGTTAGAAGAAGAATTTGAATTCTCAGTGAATCTCATTGAGAGTCAACTGCAGGAAGGCCCTTGCTGGCAGAATGCCTCCATCTCTCTAGGAGATGTGAGATGTAAAGAGGAGTGAGGCTCTCAGGCCAGGCCAACTTCTCACTATGCATTTTGGGCTGGATACAGAGCTGCATTAATGCCCCATTCATGCTTTATGACCTGGGTTAATAATCACCCCCACTTCTTAACCATCACTGAGAGAGTTTCTGGGTTCTTTGGCAGCAGCTTCCTCTCTATGACAGACATGACAACGAGACACCAGAGCTGAAAAGTGACAAAAATTTTAGTTATTAAGTAGTTATAATTTAAGTAGTTATTAAAGAGAGTTTGCATAAGACTCTTTGTTTTGAAAAATTCTGTGAAAGGAAACTGGATTGCAGAGGTGACAGCTGGCAAACTTCCAGAAGATTTGAGTTCATGCTATTTACAGATTTCATAAAAGTTAGTAAAGCAGCTTGGAGCATGTGCATGTGTATGCACGGTTTTGGGGTTTTTTAAAAAGGTATATTTTAGGCTGATTATAGCAACCATTTATCCTGCATCTACTGACCTCTGTGCTTATTCAACCTTTATGAAGCACTACCACAGCCTGCTCTGCACAGCTGGGATTCAGCAAATCTATCTTAAGAAGGAAGGTTCCTTGTCTTGGCGTTTCCTGCATGGTTAACAAAGAGAGACAGTCACCTGTGGAGGATGCTTGTTCTGTTATAAAAGAGATGACAAAATACAGAGGATGGTTTACTCTCCGCTTCAGCCCTTCTCTTTCCAGGAAAGAGAGACACTCCAGGTTCACCCTGACAGCTGGCAAACAGGTATTCCATGTCAGTTCAGGGTTATCAAATGTAGCCACAACAGCTTAGCCTGCATGTTACAAAATCCCCCCAGGTGCCAGCTCTCAATCAACTGATCCGTGCTTTGCCAGACTGGCTGGCACCTTCTGATACCAGTGTGAAGGTCATGAGGAGCCCAGGACTTCCTTTGCCAGCAGGGTCTTGGGTATGAATGTGGGTACCATAAGTTTTCTGATTCTCTGGGCCAAGGAAGGATGTACTTGTGGTCCTTAACACTGGTATCAGAACCGCTCCAAAAAAAACAAAACCACATGCAAAGATCTTGTTTATAACAGAAAACCAGCGTATGCTGAGCTAGGACTGGAAGAGCTTAAGGGCACCACCACATGCTCAGGGGCTGTCCATGCACCAGTGGTGGAATGGAGGCCTTTGCCTCCTGAGGAAAGGCTGATTGATCCTCAGAAGTTTCCAATGATTTTTGGAAAGCATCTGTAGAAGAATCCCATAACCTCTTCCCTTGAAAAGCCCAGTGAAAAGTCTTTCTCCATTTACTGTTCCCCTTTCTACCCACTGCAAAATATACCAGATAATACAACATTCCAATGGTTCATCTGGCATACACAAGTATGTCAGAAGCTTTTGAAATTAATATATCAAGCACATATTCAGTGACCAAGAAATTGCAGAAACTGTCACAGACTTCAGAGATTAGATTGGCTGGTTCATAATCTTAGACAAACGTACAATTCACTCAAATTCAAGGAAGTTCTCCTGTACCACTTCAGCCCATATTTGCTGAAAAATACCTTAGCTGTAAAAAAAAAGGAACTTTTATCAAAGGTTCTCCTTAGTTTTTGTCTCACATCAGTCAATATGTCCGTTAAACCAAAACAGACATTTGAAGTGAGAAGAAAAACCTCAAATGAAACCAAAATAGCCCACAGCTCCAAGAAGAACATGATATAATAGTGAAGTCATTTATTTGTTACTTTAATCTCTGTGGCACACTAAAATCCTTTTAATTCCTTTGAAAACTTCACTGTGCAGAGAATTTGTCTTATTTTTAGTTGCTCCTCTTTTGACAGTCTTAAATTCTATTTGACTGAAAGGTAATTCCCCTTTGAAGGACTTCTGCATGCATATCTATTACAGAAAGATTTAATTTGCTCAGTCTTCCCCTGCATTTGTTTAACAAAACGATATTAATTAATATGTATTTAGTCAGGAGAATTTTTTTTTCCAGCAACAAATCAGAGTGGACATGAGGATCCTGGCACCATTGTTGCTGGTGTTACACTGACACTATGCTGTACTAAAACCAGTGTCAGTGCAATAAAGCTTATCCTTCTCAGTGATTCAGGACTTCTAAACCAAATGGTTTCTGGAATTTTGTTTCTTCACAAAACATGGTGATGGAAGATTGATTTACACATAAAGTTTTACCTTCAACCTTCCTTCAGTAATTAAGAACATTATATTTGATAAAGTAACGAGAACATAACCCAACACAACTTAAAACTGAATAGAAAAAGTAATGATAAATCTGACACTCATAAAGCCATTAAATGTCTGAATAGAACAATGCTCCATCTATTTTTACCTGCTTTTTCTTTAAACAGGTTATAACAGAGTCTTTTCTTCCTGCTTCTATTCTGCCTTTCCGTAAGATAAGTTAAGGGGACTTAGTCATCATTTTCAAAATTACTTCAGTCCCTTTTAACACTGACTACCAGCACCACCAGAGGCAAGCACAGATGCCACATAGGATTTTCCTTGTTGGTTTTGCCATCTCACTCCAGTGAATCAAATCCCAGAAAAAGCTGACAGATTAAACAGCGTACTGATATAGACAGGTCTCAGGTCTTTGGAGGAGCAGTCATGCACATTTTTCCTTGTCAATTAAGTCAGGCAACAAACACACATACACAAAAAGGCAAAAGCTAATCCCTTAACTGTTTTTTCTACATGTGTCCTTCAATATATACTCGGTGGTCTCTCCACGCTGAAGAATTGCACGCCCACTGTCACCAAGAGTAGAATCGCATTGGTTAGGACCCAACATTTTCAGTAGATAAGCAAAGCTATCTCAGAAAGATAATCAAATTATACCAGGTCTGTAGTGACCTCAATTTCACTTAAATTTCAGCTAGCAGTATTTGCCTCTAAATAGCATGAGATAAGAAGAAATGGAATTTTTTTCTGGAGCTATTTTAAGGGCAATGACTGCTATACATAGAGTCAGAGTAAGTGGCTGAAGTTAAATTTAAAAGACAGACATATTTTTGTTTTCCTGTTTCCAAATAGAGTCTCATCTGTTCCTAAGTCAGAATAACAGAGGCAAAAAGAGAAAAAAAAACACACAGTAAAGAATGCTATCCTCCTGCAAACAAGACCAAGTCCTTTCAGTGTAGAAGGCAACACCAAAGGAAAACCATGTTTGGCTTCAGCTATTTTGATATTGAAGGATAAAGCTTATTTCTGAGTCTTGTATAAAAAGTGGGAGTAAATTCAGGTCTTCCAGAATTTTTGCTATTCTAAAACAGGTCAAAAGCACTCTTACTGGTGCCTGGCTTCCCTAACTGTACACAAAACTATTGCTTAAGTGAATGAGGTTAATTTACGGAAAATTCAGTATGCTTGCACAGAAAGCCTTGCTAAGCTATCCAGGTGTGGGCTGTGAAGCAAGTAACATAAACACTGAAATGTTCCATGTCACTGCAACACAATCAAATTTGAAATTTCAAGCAAAGTGGACTTAAAGGTACTGTGATATTGATATTAAGTGTGTAGAACTTAAACTATGTCCCACTCTGTCTATTCTGCATTCTAAAGAAAATCTCTGTGTGCACTGTTTCTCTAGAACTACTTATTTCTCAGATGAAACCAACATGCATCTCTGTTACCTATACTTTTCTCTTTTTTTTTTTTGCTTTTGTGGAGCACTCATTCTCTGTAACAAAAACACATCATAGAAGGTGTTTTTATTTACTTCCACCTGAAAGGTGTTATAATGTTGGAAGAGCCATCTCACAAGTCATGCGTAGAGAAATCTAAAATTCGGTTGCCATGCTAACAGGAAGTCACGCAACTAAGTCCAGTAAAACAAAAGTGCATAAGTGATGCTTTCTGGTAAAAATAGAGAAATATTAGATTAACAAGTCTGTAGGTTTTGACAACTGTAGCCACAACTATAGCTGCGTGCCTCGATAGAGTGCTGAATTTTTGTCGGCATTTAAACCTCCAGAGCATCAGCTGCTTCTTCCCAAGAGGACGACAGATTCTCTCCCATCACCTCAGGCGTCAGGCCCTTGCCGTATAAACCCCACAAGGGGATGAACCCACCAGTCCCTTCCTCTGCTCCAGGAGCCGTCCCATGTCCCACTTCACCCTGCTCAGCTCTGCCGCCTGCACCTTGCCGTTCTCCGGGTCCCTCCTGGGGGCTGGCAGGACCCCCGCTTTCCTTGGAGGGTTCCTGGGGACAGCGCCGGCGCCTAG